TTTTTTTTTTACAATTTAGAATCACTTTTTTTTTCTATTTTAATATAGATTTGAGGGCTGTCAAATCGATTAATCACGGTATCGCATCCACAATAAAAGTTTATGTTTACAAAAATATATGTGTGTGTATTGTGTATATTTATATGTATATATAAATACACACACATACATGAATATGTATATATATATATATATATACAGTACACAAATATATTATTCAAACACAAACTTTTATTGTGGATGCGATTAATCACGATTAATTGATTTGACAGCCCTAATATTAAACTATACATTTTTCCTGTGATACAAAGTTGAATTTTCAGCAGCCATTACTCTTAAGTGTCACATTTTTATATGCTGATTTGATGCCCAGGAAACATTTCTTATTATTTTCAATTCATTTTTGATCAATTTAATGCATCCTTGCTGAATACAAGCATTAATTTCCTTCAAAATAAAAAATAAAATCTTACGGACCCCAATTGATTTTATTTTTGTGGTCTGTTAAATAAATTTGAGAGGGGAAAAAAAGAGAAAGAAATTAATATATATTATGCAGCACCAGACTGCAAAATATTCAGTCATTAGCTCATTACAAAAAGGAAATCTACACAGGAGAGTCAGAGTGCTAGTAACATGTAATTACGTCTCTCAGCGGATTAGTCTTGTGTAATGTTCAAGTGGGCCCTTGAAGGATACAAATATTTAACATTAATGCTCAATTATTCATCTAATCACAAACACGGTGAGACCAGAGTTCAGTTTTGCAATGCCAGACTATAACCCTGGCTATACTGCATTTCTCAACTTGTATTTGAATTTATGTTACAAATATATTTGTACAAAATACACAGGAGGAAAAAAACATGCAACGTTTTGCCCATTGGGTGTGTGTGTGTGTGGGGGGGGGGTCATTCAAAATCTGAGGATTTTGAGACAAGAAAAGCACTTGCAGAAGAAGATATAGCACTTCCCTTTTTATTTAAAAAAAATTTTTTTTTTGCTGAGTTAAATAAATGATCTTTTACGGTTATCCATTAATATCAATTAAGATCACTATTAAATGTCAATTAAAAGACATGCAGTGCAATAAACAGATCACATTTAGGTTTGACATTGACCTGAAAGAACAGCATCCACTGGCGGACATGTCAGAAGTAATTCATGAGTCATACTGTGTCTAGACAGACTCTCCCCCACTTGAGCATCAATATCCACGTTTGAAGACCAAAACAGCTCATTAACGTCTCACCAGATTACTTCTTTTGCAGAGTCTCACTAAAACAGACTTTATTGCAAAGCAAAAATAAGACATTAGGCTACTCATTTTGTTTTGTTCTGCCTATATTCCACAGATTGATTTATTGCCAAACTAGAAAGTAAACTGCAGTTGCCATTCCTTCACATCAATTTGAACTCATTTGCTTACTGATTGTCCCAAAAACAGAGACATTCTCTAAAAACTGGTCATTTTACTTGCACTATAGCCCTTATAATAACAGTTGTTGGTAAATCATAATTATGACATAAAATGTAAAAATTTGAGATACAACCCTCAAACTGTAATTATGAGATAAATCGAATTTGACGTAAAATTCATATTTGATATAAAAATTCAAACTCTGCATAAAAGTTGTAATTACGAGATACAACTTGTTTTCTGACAAACTTTTTATGTAATATTTACTACTTTACGTAATTATATTACATAATTATGATTTAGTATCTCAGAATTTTGATTTTTTTTTTATCATTGTTTCATAATTATGATTTACCATAACATGAGCTTCCACAAACTAGTCATGGTTAAAGAAAAAAAAAAAGAGTGAAAGCAATGTAGCCTAGTTAAATTTGACAAAATTGTGATGTACCTATACCAACATCACACACTAGTAAGTCACATTTCAGGACTTTAACAATGAAGTTTCAAACTTTTATTGAATAAAAAAGGCCTACTAAATAAATCTACTTTATATGTGTCACGCCCATGGACTGTTGTGTGTTTGTTTTCCTCCCCCATGTGTTCCATGTTCCCCCCTGTGACCTAGTTTCTCCCTCGTGTTAATTATGTTTATTGGTTTCAGGTGTCCCTCCTTTAGTCCCTTGTTAGCTCTGTATATAACGTGTGTTCTGCCCCTTGTTTCCTGTCCGGTATTGTTCGTCAATCCCCTGTGCTACGTGTGCGTTCCTTTTTGTAAATAAAGACTTCCTTCACAGATTCCCCTACGTCTCCTCGCTCCTTTGCTCCTCGCTCCTTCACAGTAGCAGCAGCAGCATGACAATATGATTATCATTATATTATTATTATTACTACTACACTGTATAAAAAATACAGAAGATTTCACTTACGCTGGGGCTCCAGTACATGGAGGGCAGGCTGAATGCTCCATACAACCAAGCTGCCAGCCTTACTCACACCTTTCTCATACATCCCAAACACAGAGTTTATAATGGGATGAGACTGCTTCGTATGGATGTATGTCTTCTCGATGGATTCCAGAGCGGCACTGACAGATCGAAGATTGCGGATTCGATGAAGTACATTCTGCAAGGAAAAACATGTCACAACTCTGAACAATAAAATTTATTTTTTTAGCTTTCTACCTCTAGGTTTTTAATTCAAACCTAGTCGTACTTTTGTGAATAGGTATTAGTAATATCTTTAAATGACCTATACGACTGGTGTGGACATAGACACACTGATAAACAGCACTGACCCTCAAAATGAACAAATGTATTCACACAAAAAACAGCGCATGACAATAACCCTAAAAATGAAAAACTGAGCTATCAGCAGGAGGACACCAACTGACACACTCTGAAACATTACCTGCTCCTTTAAAACGTCACCGGTGTCCTTTTTCTCAGACGCCATCTCCAATAGCCTTCAATCAGCTGCTGAAATATGTGGAGAGAAACTTTAGCTGGTCTAATCCCATATTTAGACAAATATCTCGTGACATAATTATTAGATTATGAGTACTGCTGCATTCTTAAGCATGAGTAAATCTAGTAATCTCAGTAAAGATCAGTAGCCTATATTCTGGACTGTCATCAACAAATAAAAGTAGTCGGAAATGAACTACACTAACACTGGCAACCCTGTCATTATTTCAAAATCTCTCCTTAACGTAATGTGTTTTTATTGGCTAGCTAATTCCAAAGACTGTGTTTGCCACAACATGCTGTACTATACATGTTCAACAGATTATAAACGTTTCTTACCTGTAGAACCATAACTTTTGCTGCCTGACTGAGAGTTACTAGCATCATCCTGATGAAAAAAAGGTCTATAAATTCTGTTAAAATCATCTCTACCTAGACCTTCAACCTGGCCTGGTCTCCTGCAGCCTGACTAGCAGGAAAACTGTTAAATGTTGACGAGTTACAAACCAGCCTGACCAGCAAACTATCTTAAACTGGATGTTTTTGCCTGTTTGTTTTTAGCATGGCAAACACAGTGGTCTAATTTGATAGTGGCTTTCAACTAGATGGCTGAAATGCTCTTATGTGACAGTGGAGCGACATTTCACGTAAACATGCAGCATGCCTAAAGTTTAAGTTACCAGGGCCCGTATTTATCAAACTTCTCAAAGTGCCATTTTAGTCTTAAGTGCTGAGAATTCATGAAATTTACTCCTACTTTCAGACTTAAGTATAAAAGCAAGTTATCAAATTTCTTAAAGCTAAGAATCACTCTTACTCTCCCATTTATTTAAGACAGCTCGAGAGGTCTCTCAAGTGGTTAAGAGTTGCCAGTAGGGGCTTGTGATGGCGCTGAGGAGAGACGTGCGCAAATCTTTCAGGAGAAGAAGAATGTTCTTGAAATGTTTGACGACGAGGTTACATTTTCTCAGTTATTCAAACAGAAAACGAGCAAAGAATATTTACATTACCAAAGAACATCATAACTGACTTCAGTCTAGTGCAAGTATTATATGCTCTTTAAAAACACTCCCGTTATAATCAGTGAAGCTACCTACACTGTTTCATGAATAAATCTCTTACCCCTTATTTACACCACTAAATCATCACTACATCACCAAAGATAGGCGCCTATATTTTTGACGGATAATAATAATAATCGTCATCTTGCTGTTGTCAAAGAAATCAGCCACAGGCGACATCTCTGACTATCGTCGATACATGATACTATCGTCTACTGGCACAACCCTAAATTGAAGGTTGTGATGACGATTCGTTTGACATAATTACGGATTATAATGACTTATCTTTTTACTCATTGCATTGCATCGCGCCGCGTAAAAATAAAACCATGTCTGCATTTGTGATAGGAGAAATGACAAACAACAAACGCTACTCTACACTGCTCAAAACTCGCATTTGAATCATCAGTGGCAAATTCTTTAAATATAAAAACGTA